AAACAGGCCCCTCCCAACAGCGAAGGCCTGTGCTCAACGGACAGTTTTTAGGTCCCTAAATATTTTATATGTGGGTAAATTGAAAGACACCTCCGGGAATAGACCCTCTTAACAACGACTCGAGACAAAATTTACCTTCAGATTTTTTAAGAAATTATTGTATTTTGTATGCCATCCACAGACAGTTAGGTAAAGGCGATTAGAAGAATAAAATTGGGGCTCTGGAAATTCAAATATGTACCGAACTTATTGTAGACGTAAAACTAATTATATAAGTAGGTACTTATGGTCATAACACTAGGTACTTGGAAACTAATAGTTTTTGGAAAAAACCATTTTAAAATATGGTCATCCTTTGTACACATTTCTAATTTAGTTGCGATATTCTGATCTACGAGTAACAATGTCTTAGACTAAAAAAATTAAGACAAAATATCGGTGATAGAAGCATCTGAAAAAAATAATTATAGTGTTCGAGTTTTTGCCGAAAAGTTTTAAATAGGAAAAACTCAATTTAGTGACATTTTCAAAAAAAGGTCAGTCTAAAAAGTAGTATAGTAAAAGTGGATATTTTTACCAAAAAAAGAGGATTAAAACTGAAGGTTTTGCTATCAATAATATAGTGTACGATTGGTTTTGTAAAGTGAGAAATAAGAACAATTCATTACATCATTTCAAAGTAACAAAGAAACTGACAAATTTATTCAGTAGCTATTTACCTGAAGGTATTTATAACGCTGATAAGACTGGTTATATTATCGAGCCTTAAACTAAGCAAAACTTTTACATTTTGTAATAAAACGTTTACTGTGGGCAAATCTGATAAGAAAAGGCTGACTGTATTATTGTATCAAAACTCAGATGTGAAAAAAGAAAATCCTTTGAAGATTAAAACCTAAAAGAATGCCTGGTAAACCAAACATATCATGACAGATTGGCTGAACAGATTTAACAGAAAAATGCATCGTTAAAACAGAAAAATTCTCTTCTTCCTAGACAACGCAACATCTCATCCGAATATTCGGTTACCTAACACATGGATATTATTTTTGCCATCTAATACTACTCCAAATTGTGAACCGTTAGAACAAGGAATAATTAAAAACTTAAAATCCTTGTATAGAAATTTTTTGGATGAGAAGTATGTCTCTATGTATCTATCGAACGTTCTTCATTAACGGCTGAACTGAAAGAATTCATAACGATTACTAACGCCTTAATTTGGTTTGTGGCAGCATGGAGAGACGTTTAAACCAAAACAATTTAAAAGTGTTTCAATAAGTGCAGTTTGTCAGAAAACGATAGTAATGGAGAAGAAACTGTACAAAAACTGAAGTCTGGAGTTTCAAGACCTGAAAGATGATTTGTCATTGTCAACCTTTTGCGAAAGTCATAGTTGAACATTTTTTAACTACCTAGAGATTTATGCAGCACAATTGACGGAAAATCTTAAAGAAAACTTAGCTAATGTAAAATAGTTTCGATTGTTGTAATTAGATGTCGCTATTGCGTCCGTATTGAAGCCATGTTATTGTTGCTTCTTAAAAGGCAGAAAATATTGATTTTTCACGTTGAGAAGCCCCATGAATAGCTCTTCTGACGAGAACTATTAGGTCGAAATACGTATCAAGAGATACATAGGATTTGTTTGCGTGAAATCAAATATTTGCTGCCTTTTCTCATTTTAAAACTTAGCTAGTTGTGTAAGTGATTTTGGAAAGAGGTCCAATGTTTCCGACAATAAGAGTGACGATGAACTAGAAATTATGACAACTCTAAGTAATTTAAATGATGCTTGCCTAAAATTAAGAAAATTATTTTTTATATATAATTTAAATTTAAAGGTGATGCAAGAGTGAGTCAAAAAAATATCTGCTGTAAAGGTAACTGTTTAGGCGGAAATTGTGAAAAATAATATTCAAAACAAAAAAACAATTTAAAATTGATGATTATTTTTACGAAGTAATACTTCTACTTCTTCAAGTTCCGCTCCTATCGGAGATTGGAAGTCATTCTGGCAAGTATAATCTTGTTGGTTACGCGCCTGAATAGTTCAATTGAACTACATCCAAACCATTCACGGAGATTGCGTAGCAACAAGATTCTGCAATATATTCCTTTGTAATTTTTATTTTTCACCTCTCATGATGTGCCCCAAGTATTTCAATTTCCTGATTTTTATGGAATTTAAAACTTCGCATTGTTTTCCTAGTTGTTCGAGAGCTTGTTCGTTTGTTTTGCGATCCATCCATAATATTTTCAAAAGACGTCGATAACACCACATTTCGAATGCTTCTAGATTTTTAATGTTGGGTTTTTAAGTGTCCAAGCTTCAACCCCATAATAAATTGTAGAGAAAATATAACATCTAAGCATTCTTATCAGGAGCGATATATTGAGCGATTACAAAAAGTTATCTCATTCTATTAAAAGTTAACGGTGCAATTTCATTGCAGCATCTTATTTCTGTCGTCTGATTAGTATCTATTTTCATTGTACCAAAAAGACTTTATCACCAAAGGCTGCTTCAACAGCTATGGCTTTAGTGCAAGAGAGCTGTAGGCAATATTATGACGTCCAGCTGCTAGGTGTAAGTCTTTTAGGATCAGCCAGTCGTCATAGAGAAACAACCGAACATATGTCTACATCGACATCCAACTTCAATTAAGTTGAAAGATCGCTTGAACGAAGTACGAATTATGGATGTAAGCTGGTAAATAGTTCGTCTACGACTTCATAAAGCGAATTTATTATCCCGAACTCCAGGCCTACGCCCACAGCTATATGTGGAACACTGCAGAGCACGACTTGCTTTTGAAAGATAACACGAAAATTAAAATTACGCAGATTGGAGTAATGTTTTATTCTCAGAGAACTCCAGGTTTTGCTTGAAATCACCAGATGGTCGCGAAAGAATCTGAACATTTGTTTATCGTATGGAAATTACAACAAATTTAGAACAAAATTACAAACACTAGTAATATAGGTATATGACAAATTTTGAATAGTTACAAACAAACATCAAGTGTATTAACATAATAAATTGACTCTGAAGTTGCAAACAGGAAGTCTTCAGGGCTACGATTGTAGAATCTTGAGGGACACTCTTCAATAATGTGGTCAATCGTTTGGTTCTTCCCACAGTCACATTAGGGAGACGGATTATTTCCCCATTTATGTAGCATGTATGCACATCTGCCATGTCTGGTTCGGATCCTGTTTAGAGTGGATCATGTTTTACGTGGAAGATCAAAACCTGGTGGCTTGTGGGTAATGCAGGGCATGTTATTTTGCCATGCATTCCATTCTTGGGACCATGCATTCGTGATGGTCAACTCCTCATGTATCATTCTTGCCGTTTTTATTGGTGGTTTTCTAGAACGTAGACGGGTATTTCGTGCATCCTCGGTATCTTGGTGGATCGTCAGGTTTATATTGTTCATGATCTTTTTGTATTCACGGGTAGATGCGTCAACTCGTCGTATATGTGGAGGTGGAATGTGACTTAATACTGGAAGGCATTGGGTGGGAGTTGTTTTAATTGTACCAAGTATCATCATCATAGTGCTGTGCAGCTGAGTGTCAACCTTCTTTACGTGTGGACTGTACAGCCAAACTGTCGCAGCTGTGGCACAATATTCAGCTGTCGAGAAAACAAGGGCTAAGGCAGTAGAGCAGAGAGTGGAAGCTGATGCTCCCCAGGTTGTACCGCAGAGCTTCTGTATAATATTATTTCTTGTACTCAACTTTTGGGCAGTTTTTGTTAAATGCTCTTTAAATGATAGCGTTCTGTCTAGTGTTACGCCCAGGTACTTTGGTGTTTTGTTGTGGGAAAGTGTGGTATTTTCAAACCGTATGCTGAGTTCCTTTCCAGCAAGTTTATTGTTCAGGTGAAAGCAACTCACTTCTGTTTTGGATGCATTTGGTTGAAGCCGCCACTTGCGAAAATATTTGATTAATATATATATATATATATATATATATATATATATATATATATATATAAGTCTGTCGTGAAAACTTGTTCAGATGTTTCTAGTGTTCTGAATCTTATAGTGAGGGCCGATTCATCGCCGTATCCGAACTTTCTTGATTGTGTTTCAGGCATATCTGGTAAATATAAGCTAAATAGTAATGGAGAGAGCACTGTCCCCTGTGGTACACCATTCTTAAGTTTCTTTGGTGAGCTGATATCTGTGCCCAATACTACTTGAAATATTCGTTCGTTAAGCATGCTATCTATTAAACGTGCTATTGGTTTACAGAGGATTGCAGGGAAAATTTTGTATATAGGGCTCTCTCTTCATACTCTATCGTATGCTGCCAAGACATCAATAAATGCCGCTGAAGTTTTAAGTCTTCTTTGGAAACATGCTTCGATGTACGTGGTGAGTGACAAGCGACTCGCTTGTTCGACTGGGATCAGAACAAAAGATGAACAGAATAGAATCTGAACAAAACAGGTTTGGTCTGGTATAAGTTTCAACACACGTGCTGATGTTAGAATTGTTAATGAATACTTAGAACACTTTCGGATTCTCCGTATGAATTGGTCAGCTTTTAGCCCCGGCCTTAATCCAATCGAACAACTATGGGACATACTGGGAAGATGAATTTAAGTTCGACTGACCCGTCCAAACAAATTGCCTGAGCTTACTGCGGCTCTTAATTTTTTCTTTAATTCTTTATTTTTTTTATTTATTTAAGATCTTTATCTGAGATCTTTGTTTTTAAAATTTAATTACCATAATGCCAAGACGTATGCATGCTATTATAAGAGCCTGACGAGAAAATTCTAGATATTAGATACAAACAACAATAAAAACTATTTTGTTATAATTGTTTTCCAAATGCCATAGGTATATTTTTAATCAATCAAATTAAAGAAATATAAAATATATATTCAATCTATAAGTGAAATTTCCAAAAATGTGTCTGCTTCTTTATTAAATAGGCGTGAATCGATTTTTTTGCACTTAAGTAGTATAGGTAATACTTACCAGTTATTATTTCACGATCCTTATACACTAATTCGACTTGTTTCCTGGCAATGTTCAAAAGAAAATAGGGAAAATAACCTTGCTCCTTTGTTAAACAACCTTTCACTTTCTTAATTGGTTCTTTACTGCATTCTTCCACATTTTCTAAATATTCTTCCTTAGTGTGTAAGTATATTTGTTTGGTTTGAATACATTTTTCGAGTTCTGTGAATGTTTTCTGAAAAGTAACTTAAACGATGAAAAAAATGTGACAAAAATTTTTTTATTAGTAAATTGTACTAGGTGGCAAAAACTAAAATATAATAAGTGTTGTATATAAATAGCTAGTGTAAGTTGATTGTTATGTGTCACGTGATTTTCGAAAGAAATCTGAATATTATCTCTCATTGAATTTTTTTGTCTACTTCTCCAATGCTTTTTGAGTTATTGTTCCTTTAAGTGAACCTTTATATGTCGATATTTTTTAGACATTTTTATATTTTTAAATATTTTTGCACATCTCCCGACGACAGACACGTTATACTTTATTAGCTAAGTTAGATCTAAATAGCTATATTACAGTACAATATATTTATTGTAATGCTTTATTTAACACAGCTTTCTAATCTTTAAGTAACAATACGGTATGCAATCTGTTTATTGTTTTAACTACTACAAAAGTTATGTAAGGCCCCATGGCGCGATTCGATCCCAATTGTAAATATGTTGGAAGCTTAAATTAAAAGTAAAATGTATTATTTATCTTATTTTATCAAAATGTTAATCTAACCCCTAGTTGGACCAGAGCGGTTAAAGCTGAACACCACATTGCGATCCTGTCAGTCCTTGTAAACAACACCACATCACGATCCTTTCTTATAGATGACTTTAACGTTAAGTTGAATAAAATAAAGATTAACTGGATTAACTGGAAATTTTAACCGTGGAATAAATATTGTACTGTATACCAGTACAAAGCGGAGTCAGACAAGGTGACTCGTTGAGCCCACTTCTCTTTAATATAATAATTAACAAAATGATACAAGCAGTACGTAAAGGTCATAGCTATAGAATGGGAGACAAAGAAATCCAAATTATGTAATGCAGAAGACGCCGCATTAATCGCCGAGACAGAAGACGAGCTTCAAAGATTAATAAATATCTTCAATACAACAGCTAAGAAATGCAATATGATAATATCACCAGACAAAACCAAATGTATGACAACAGCTAAATACCCACTACGGTGTAAAATCAAAATTGATGGGAAAATAATAAAGCAGGAAGCAAGGTTTAGATATCTGGGAATATATATAACTAGTTAATGAGAAGTTGAAGAAGAAGTACGATAACAAAGCTTAAAAGCAAGTAAAGCTGCGGGTTCTCTTAATGACACAATCTGGAACAACAAACACCTAAGACAAGGCACAAAAACAAGAATCTATAAAGCAGCAATTAGACCTATACTAACATACATGGCGGAAACAAGACCTGACACATCTTAAACGAGACGACTGCTAGAAACAACAGAGATGAAAATATTCCGACGAATATCAGGGAGAAGTCTATTGGATTGGGAGCGAAGCAAAAACATAAGATGAGCATGAAATATAAAAGACATAAATGGATGGGTGACAAAATGAAAACAGGAGTGGAACGAACATATCAGCAGAACGGTAGAGGATAGAATAGTACTAATAGCAGGAGATAAGTCACCAAATAGACGAAGAAGTATTGACAGACCAAGAAAAATATGGTGCGACAATGAAGGAGGCTAATATTAAAGAAGAAACAAGCTTTAAAGCCTACATACTAAAAGAAAGAAGAAGAAGAACAAATATTGACAGGAAAGCAAGCATAACTGAATTTTGTTACAACATAACATGGTAGAGGCAAATACATGGTTTAAGTTACTACCTCATAAAGTATACATAATTAACCACAGCGTAATACTCGTAAAAAGAGAGTAATTCGTTATCAAATAAATTATATTTTTGTTAACAAAAGATATCACAACGCAAAAAGAAGTCATCAGTGCAAAAACAGATCCTGCAACTGACATCAGTTCCGTTCATAATCGTATTGTTGTGAAAGTGCGCCCAAGATGGAAACAAATAAAAAACAAAAACCTCAAGACCAACTAGACATCCAATTATTAAAAACGAAACCATACAGCAGTAGTATACCAAAAACTAAACAAAAATTTGGGAAATATTAACCAACACAGAATTAAGACTTCAATGACATAAACGTCCTTTGGATAACTACTATTAAAATCGTAATAAAAAAATACTCAAAAGTGGTACCCATAACTATCAAACAGGAATGAGTTTTCAATTTAATATATATATATATATATATATATATATATATATATAATATATATATATATATATATATAAATATATATATATATATATATATATATATATATATATATATATATATATATAAATTCTTTGGAGGGTAACTTTTGGGAAAGCGTCAAAACAAGGATCAGCTAGAGATGGTATAAGCCAGTTTGGTGTAGAACTTTATTCTAAATGTGAAATTTTCGGTAATATGTTGTCACCTTCATCAGCACCTAAATGGAAAACCTATTATAGTACAGTGGTGGAAATCAACATTTAAAAACCTACATTGAAAATGTTCAGTTGGTCCTAGTGGTAAAGAACACTGTCACAAACATGTTAAAAATATTAAAAAATACATTTAAAATTTTGAATAATAACATTACAACACAACAGGGTAGTTTTTCAAATACAAACACAACAAAAAGTCTAAAATTTACAACCTACAAAAACTGCAAATAGAAAAGAAGAATTAATCTTCTTTTTTGATGACATATTTCTGTCAACATCCGGGTGTCATATGTAACGAGGTTATAATTTTCACTTTTGCACCTCACAATCACATGGATACGAAAAGAAAGAGTCCTAGGCAACATAATCAGCAAGGAAATGAAGTCCCCTCTAAAGCACAGGTAGGTAATCTATGCATGTCATGATAAGTTCCCCACATTTTCCAGTTTGTTACTTCTTGTCAAGTCCTGTTGAAGTAGAAAGGAATAAATACAACTTAAGTTTTCAACATCTTTCTTACAGTTCATAGGAGAGCTGCAGTTATGGATGTAGCACATTTCTATGAAGTTTCTCTTAAATTGGTTGTCAACCCTCTTTAGTACTTGCACATTTTCATAGTTAGCAGTGTGTCCAGTATTCTTAATATGTTGGCTAAAGGCTGTGCTGGTGGGTTTCCTCACAACATCACTCCTGTGCAAAGCTATTCTTTTGAGAGTTTCTGGCTGGTTTGACCGACATACACTTCTGAACAAGAACCACATGGAATAGAATACACTACATTGAAGTTATCCAGTTTTTTAACTCTTTCTGTCAGGTGAGTAAAGTATGTCCCTAATCTTTTGTAAACAGAATTTGCTATCACTATGTTGAACTGTCTGAAAAGGTTTGTGATCTGTGGTGATAAACCTTTGATGTAAGGCAATCTGCCATAGAACACTTCTACTGTTTTTCCTTCTAACGATTGTCTTTGGTGTGTTATAACTGTTGGCATATCTTGAAATAGCAATTTATTAAGAAGCATCTTAGGGTAGTGATTTTTTCTAAGAATCTCATACAATAACTTGATGGTCTTATTGTAGTTTGAAGGGTGACAAATTCTTTTTATTCTGTTTTTCAGACCTTTGATGATGTTAATCTTCTGTTCATCTGGATGATACGAGTGAAAAGGCACATATCTACCTGAGAATGTTTTTTTTTCTGTACCAATCCAACCTTACTGTATTGTCCTCATGTCTGGTTACATAGGTGTCTAAGAATGGAACACTATTATTTTCTTCTGTTTCAACTGTGAATTGTAGGTGAGTGTTATATGAGTTGAAAATGTCAAGAGTGTAGTTGATTTTGTCTGCAGGGACTGCACATATGAGGTCGTCTACATATTGGTAAATAAAGGGGAACTGGAAATCAACTTCTTGAGTACAGTAGTGAAGTAGGGAGTTCATTACAATTTCTGCCAAAGTAGGGGATATAGCTCCACCCATGGGTGTTCCTTTTATTTGGACATAGAATTCATTTTGAAAAGTGAAATATGTATTGTTGTATAAAAAGGTAATCAGTTTCAGGAACAAAACTTTGGGAATTGTACAGTTCTGTTCAATAAGATGGTAGTTAGTTGTCAGAATAGAAACTACCAGTTCAAGAGGGATGTTGGTAAACAAGGAAGTAACATCAAAACTCACCAAGACATATCCTGAAGGTAGTAAAAACCCATTGATCTTATTTGCAAATTCAAAAGAATCTTTAATTTTGTAGGTATTATGTGAAGAAAAAGAAGTGTCAATAATACCTGCCAGATATTTAGCCAAGGATTGAGTGGGGGCATTCTTGCAAGCAATTATAGGACGTAGAGGGCACCCTTCTTTGTGAATTTTTGGAAGTCCATAGTATGTTGGGGTGGTACCGGTGTAATAGTTAATTCTTTTTTTGTTTGGTGGTAACACCAAAACAAAAAAGAAGGATATATTATATCTTTTAGGATATATATCTTTTGAAGAAGGATATATTACCACCAAAACAAAAAAAGAATTAACCAACGCCAATTTCATAATTCATATGTTTTCAATTCTCCAAAAAGCCAACACATTCCAATTCCAAAAATCGCTGTTCTTGAGTTGAGGACCACTACCTGAACAGCCAAAATAAGTGCACCGAATTACGGACCGAACGAGATTTTAATGAGTAAAGAAACATTTAATATTAAAATATTATTTTAGATTTAGTTTCTTTTGAGCTGTATTGAAAGGTGTTCCAAATGAGTGAAATTAATAGTTATTGTGATTATTACGATTATTGTGGTTATTGAGATTCGTACTTTTAATAATATTTTATACCTGAGTATAATGATTTCCTTATCAGAAGTCTTGGTCCTCAATTCGCGCGATTTTTTCAGGTATAAAGGTAAACCCTTACTTAAAATTTTATTTTGATCCTCAATTCGTGTCTGCACCCAAAAATTGTGTATTATACAAAAATATCAGACAAAAGACTTTCTACTATCTACTAATGACTTGTTTCCTGGTAACCGATATTAATCCTTGAAAAATGTAGGTAGATTTGATATTTCAATATAACATTTTATTTACTTAAACTAATCTTAAATAAAATGCTAATTTGAAAAGTAAAACTGCTGCAAACCGTAAATCGAAAAAGTGTCCTT